TGTTGCTATGCGGTTGCTAGGGTACCTGGGGTGGTTGTTAAGATGTTGCTATGGGGTTGCTAGGGTACCCGTGGTGGTTGCTAGGGTTTTGCTATGCGGTTGCTAGGGTAATCGGGGTGGTTTCTAGGGTGTTGCTATGCGGTTTGGTAGGGTACCCGGGATGGTTGCTAAGGTGTTGCTATGGTGATGCTAGGGTACCTGGGGTGGTTGCTAAGGTGTTGCTAGGGTACCCGGGATGGTTGCTAGGGTCCCCGTGGTGGTTGCTAAGGTGTTGTTATGGGGTTGCTAGGGTGTTGCTAGGGTACCCGGGATGGTTGCTAGGGTTCCCAGGGTGGTTGCTAAGGTGTTACTATGGGGTTGCTAGGGTACTTGGGGTAGTTGCTAGATTACCCGTGATGGTTGCTAGGGTGTTGCTATGGGGTTGCTAGGGTACCCATGGTGGTTGCTAGGGTGTTGCTATGTCGATAGATAGATAGGATAGATAGATAGATAGATAGATAGATAGATAGATAGATAGATAGATAGATAGATAGATAGATAGATAGATAGATAGATAGAGAAATAGTCATATTAGATAGATAGATGGAAATGGTCAGATTAGATAGATAGACAGACAGACAGACAGATAGACAGATAGATAGATAGATAGATAGAAAAACTGACACTAAACAGAACTAGACTGAAAAGTTTGTAGACAAACTTTAAGTTGGCTTGAAAAAGCATAGCTAGAAAGTTTGAAAAACTTTTAAAAGTTTGCAGTCTGAAAGTGTTTAGTTTGAAGTAGTTTGAAACTTAAAATAGTTTTTAAAGATTAAAGTTTGAATGTTTTCAAGGCAATACAGTCTATCAGGAAAACAGAGAGGTATAAAACATATTGCTAGGGTACCTGGGGTGGTTGCTAGGCTGTTTCTAGCATGATTAGCATGTTTCTAGCATGATTAGCGCATTGCTAGCACAATTAGCATGTTACTAGCATGTTTCTAGCATGATTATAATGTTACTAGCATGTTGTTAGCATGATTAGCATGTTACTAGCATGTTGTTAACATTTTGTTAGCATGATTAGCAAGTTACTAGCATGTTTCTATCATGATTAACATGTTACAAGCATGTTGTTAGCATTATTAGCAAGTTACTAGCATGTTGCTAGCATGATTCTAGCATGATTAACATGTTACTAGCATGATTCTAGCATGATTATCATGTTATTAGCCTGTTGCTAGCATGATTAGCATGTTACTAGCATGTTTCTAACATGCTTACCATTTTGATAGCATGATTATCAAGTTTCTGGCATTTTTCTAGCATGATTAGAATGTTACTAGCATGTTGTTAGCATTATTATCATGTTACTGGCATGGTGTTAACATTTTGTTAGCATTATTAGCAAGTTACTAGCATGTTTCTAGCATGTTACAAGCATATTGTTAGCATTACCAGCAAGTTACTGGCATGATTCTAGCATGATTAGCATGTCACTATCATGATTCTAACATGATTAGCATATTACAAGCATGATGCTAGCATGTTTCTAGCATGATTAACAAGTTGTTAACATTTTTCTAGCATGATAAGCAAGTTACTAGTATGTTGTTAACATGATTCTAACACGATTAACAAGTTACTATCATGTTGTTAACATTATTAGCAAGTTACTAGCATGTTGTTAACATGATTAGCAAGTTAATAGCATGTTGTTAGCATTATACTAGCATGATTAGCATTTTACTAGCGTGATTCTAGCATGATTATCATATTACTAGAATGATGCTAGCATGTTTAACAAGTTGCTAACATTTTGTTAGCATGTTAAGCATGTTGCTAGCATGAATCTAGCATGATTAACATGTTACTAGTATGATTCTAGCATGATTTGCATGTTGCTAGCATTATGTTAGCATGTTTCTAGCATGATTAACAAGTTACTAACATTTTGTTAGCATATTTCTAGCATGATTAGAAGTTACTAACTTGTTGTTACCATGATTAACATGTTACTGGCATGATTCTAGCATGATTAGCATGTTACTACCATGGTGTTAACATTTTGTTTTCATGATTAGCAAGTTACTAGCATTTTTCTAGAATGATTAACATGTTACTAGCATTTTGTTAACATGAGTAGCATGTTACTAGCATGTTGTTCACATTATTAGCAAGTTACTAGCATGTTGTTAACATGATTAGGACATTACTAGCATGTTGCTAGCATTTTGTTAGCATGTCTAGCAAGTTGTTAACCTGTTTTCTTACATGATTAGCATGGTGTTATCATTTTGTTAGCATGATTAACATGTTACTAGCATTTTGTTAACATGATTAGCAAGTTACTAGAATGTCTCTACCATGTTACTTGCATGATGTTACCATGTTTCTAGCATGTTTATCAAGTTGCTTGCATGTTTCTAGCATGTTACTAACGTAATGCTAGTATGTTTCTAAAGTTTAACAAGTTGCTATAATTTTTTTAGCATGTTTAACAAGAGGCTAGCATGTTTCTAGCATCATTAGTATGTTACTAGCATGGTGTTAGCATTTTGTTAGCATAATTAGCAAGTTACTAGCATTTTGTTAACATGTTTCTAGCATGATTAGCAAGTTACTACCAAGTTTCTAGCATGATTAACAAGTTTCTAACATGTTGTTAACATGATTAGCACGTTATTAGCATTATGTTAACATGATTAGTATGTTAACAGCATGTTGCTAGCATGATTCTAGCATGATTAGCATTTTACTAGCATAATGCTAGCATGTTTCTAACATGTTTAGTAAGTTGTTAGTATGCTTCTAACAATATTAGCATTTTACTAGCATGTTGGTAGCATGATTAACAAGTTAACTATTATGTTGCTAGCAATATTCTACCATGATTAACATGTTTCTAGCATGATTAGCATTTTACTAGCATGATGCTAGCATTTGTCTAAGATGATTAGCAAGTTACTAGCATTTTGTTAGCATGTTTCTAACATGATTAGCAAGTTACTAGCATGTTGTTAGCATGATTAGCAAGTTACTAGCATTTTGTTAACATGTTTCTAGCATGATTAGCAAGTTACTAGCATTTTGTTAACATGTTTCTAGCATGATTAGCAAGTTACTAGCATTTTGTTAACATGTTTCTAGCATGATTAGCAAGTTACTAGCATGATTCTAGCATGATTAACATGTTATTAACATGATGCTAGCATGTTTCTAGTATGTTTAACAAGTTGCTAGCATGTTTCTAGCATGTTTACCAAATTGCTAGTATGTTTCTAGCATGATTAGTGCGTTACTAGCATGGTGTTATCCTTTTTTAGCATGATTAACAAGTTGCTAGCACGTTTCTAGCATGATTAACATGTTACTAACATTTTGTTAGCCTGTTTCTAGCATGATAAGCAAGTTATTACCATGTTGTTAGCATGTTTATAAGCTAATCCAGCTAAAACCAGTTGATTCAGTTAAAAAAAACAGTTAAAAACAAGCTAAGACCAGCCTGGCCTGCTAAAAAAAATGGCCCAAACCACTTTAAAACCAGCTTAGCCTGGTTTTAGCTGTTTTTTTCAGTAGGGAGTTGTTAAGCTTTGTTATAGCAATAGACAGTTTAAATACACCATAAGTCTTATTGTATAAAGTTGAAAGTCTATGGGATTTTAGGTGGTTTTGATAGTCTGGTTTACGAAAACCGTAAGCTAGATCAGTTAGAAAAGATATAGCAACCCGAGTCAGACCAGTCTGAAGGTTGTAGCTTTAAAATTCTAGGAGGAGATACATTTTAAAATTTGGTCTCAGAAGAAGAAGAAGAACTCAACTTTAAATAGCATTTCAGCAAGTTGGCTTTCACAAACTTTAAGTTGGCTTGAAAAAACCTAGCCAGAAAGTTTGAAGTAGTTTTAAAAAGTAGTTTTAAAAGCTTGAAGGTTTTCAATAGTTTAAGTTTTAGTTTAGTAGTTTTAAAAGCTAGCAATGTGGTTGCTAAGGTGCTCAGGGTAGTTATAGATATAATATAGTTGTTATATTATAGTTACAGATAGAAATGGTCAGATAGATAGATAGATAGATAGATAGATAGATAGATAGATAGATCACCTGGAATAGTTGCTAGGGTGTTGCTAGGGTACTTGGGGTGGTTGCTAGAGCAGTTGCAAGGGTACATGGGGTGGTTGTTAGGGTGTTGCTATGTGGTTGCTAGGGTACCCAGAGTGGTTGCTAGGATGTAAACTAGCAATATGGTTGCTAGTTTACATTTGCATTTAGACATTAATGTTGGGGTGGTTGGGTGGTTGCTAGGGTGTTGCTATGCGGTTGCTAGGGTACCTGGGGTGGTTGTTAAGATGTTGCTATGGGGGTACCCGTGTTCTGATATCCCATGTGCATGTGGTTTGATGGTTAAAAATATTTTTTAATGATATTTTTTAAATAATATTCAATAGTGTGAAATAAGCATAAAAATTATTGCCCATAAACATAACAGAAAATGTGCTGACAGAAAATTACTAGTACCATTTTTCTTACTTTTGACTGTCAGAACAAAGTCTTGTCCACTTTTATTTTTCAGTTTATTCCAAAACTATAGATAGATAGATAGATAGATAGATAGATAGATAGATAGATAGATAGATAGATAGATAGATAGATAGATAGATAGATAGAGAAATAGTCATATTAGATAGATAGATGGAAATGGTCAGATTAGATAGATAGACAGACAGACAGACAGATAGGTAGATAGATAGATAGATAGATAGATAGATAGATAGATAGATAGATAGATAGATAGATAGATAGATAGATAGATAGATAGATAGATAGATAGATAGATAGATAGATAGATAGATAGAATAAATTAGTTGAATGAGTTTAAATTGCTGACTCATTCAAACCTCCTACACTGTAAAAAAAATAATTTTTTTTTGTACCACAGATATAGTTCTGTAGAATTTTCCACTTAATTTTTCAACTAAATTCAGCCCCTTTGATGTGAACACATGGCATTGACGGCTCATGTCATGTGACTTTGGCAGCATAAATAGTTGATGAGAATCTCTTCTTGGAGTCAGACTGCCTGATAATTCATCGGTACTTCATCCAGACTTTGATCAGCAACACACTGCAGCAATGAGTTTGCCTTGGAAACGGACAGAGGATTCCACTCCAGATGTTCAGAAGTTCTGCGATCTGGTAAGAGACAGACAATCCAACATTTATAGATTGGGAGACTGAAGCAGACTATGTCTATTTTCAGTTGCATAGTTCTTAGCTAAAATAATATCTATAACACAGAGGCATTAAAAAATCCCTCTGTACTAGTTTCTCTAAAGACGTCCATAAACTAGACTTCAGTTCTATATATAAATACTTAGATATACTGATTTCTGAGGCCGGTTGCATAAACCTCTTAGACTAGTCTTAAAAGTTAGACACCTAATTTTTTTCTGCAAGACTGGTCATCATTTTTTTAAGTCAGTTACATAAAAATGTAGATTGATCTAATTTGAATCTGAAAGGAGAGACTGATAACCACTTGGTTAACTGCTAGGTAGTCAAACTAGTTCTTAAGACAGTCTTGATGCCCAGTTTTACAGACAAGGCTTAAGCCTAGTCCCAGACTAAAGTGCATGTTTCGGCTGTCTTAACTGAAAGCAACTTGCACTGACACATCTTAAGATATCTTAGTGGCATTGATTTGTATCAAGGTGTACACTAGTAATGTATTTTCTAAGGCACGTTTACTTAAATGTCCAAATTTAACTAAGGCTTAATCCTGGCTTAATCTAAGCCCTGTTTGTGAAACCAGGCCTTAAAATTTTATATTTATACATAAATATTTATATTTATTATTACAGTTTAAAAGATTTTATATTTTAATATATTTTTGAAATGTAAAATATAAAACATATATATATATATATATATATATATAAAAAAAACAAATTTTCCTGTGATGGCAAGTCTTCAGTGTCACATGATCTTCCAGAAATCATTCTAATATGCTGATTTGCTGTTTAAGAAATATTTCTGATTATTATCAATGCTGAAATCAGTTGTGCTTTTTGATTAATAAAAAGTTTTTTTTTATAAATAAATAAATGCATCTTTGAACAATATTGTATATAATATGTAGATCAATGCAAAATGTGTATCTGTTTATTCAGGTGAAGAAAGATTTAGAGGATAAGATTGGACAGAAGTCTGTGTACAACGCCCTCACCTTCAGAGTGACTGATACTGAAATACAGTACATAGCTAAGGTAAATGGGTGTTTTCTTTATTAATTTGTTTAAACAACTTTTCTTGCAGTATCTACTGTCCATATAACAGTGTACAATGTGACGGTCTCTTCCTCTTCTTCTCTCAGGTGCATGTTGGAGGGAATGAATATGCTCATGTGAAAATCTCTCAGACTCTCCCTTGCTATGGAGAAGAAGTGAAGCTGGTTGATTATCAGTTTCCTAAAAAAATGTTGGATATAATCGAACCCTTCTGAAGACTTCTGAAAGCATTATTCTGTCCTCACAGAGCGACTCATAAAAACACTTTTCAATAAAGTCCTGAAGCATAACTGTCTTTGGTGTTGCCGTCTTTAATGTTTGATCTTTTCACTGTCAAACTGAAAATGCTAAGAATAAAATAGGAATATTTAAATATAAAATGACCAAAAATAAAAAATATAGAGCTGTCCTTTAACAAAGTATCCTTATTCCCATGCTGTAGCTTGCCATTTTCTGTTTTACAAGCCTTTAGAAGTGGTGTGCGTTTAAAAAGTGTGAATCCACTGCTCAGGGTTTCTTAAATTAAAATACCTGAGGTGTGTTGTCAATAGGGAAGCCAGTATGAAAACTCCTTTAATATAGCACTATCTTGTGGCACATTTCTCACTAAATGTCCTACATATAATGTTACAAGTTATTGAAATTACAGGCTGCTGAATTTTCATTGGTTGTGGGAAACCAAATGTGTTCATGTAGTGCATGTAAATTCTTGCTGCAAAAAACCCCCCAAAAAAACTAGTGTGAATGTGAATTTATTTCATTTTGGAAATCCCTGTTATTATAGCATTTCACACCACTGAACATGTCAATTTCCCAGAAGTATTTCAGGGAGTTATTTTCAGGAGTTACTCACCAGTTGGTTGATAAAATTCTTAGGAACGGCAAAAAAATGATGTTTTACTCACATTAATAGCACAATACTGAACAATATTTAAAACTCTTAATAGAAGTAAAATGACCAATATTTAAATCTTTTCATTGCCTTTGAATGCTCAGATGTGTGCCCGAGTCACTGCAGCACTGATATATTTGCTAGACAACAATATGAATACAGTATAGGTCTAGCTAGATCTATCTAGCTAGATACATTATGTATTGTGTTTTTAAAGGTAACATTTTATGTTTTGTACCTGGTTCTTTTCTGGCCTTAGTTACTTTATTTAACTGTGCATATTTGTACTTTTTCATGTAAATGATTTATTTTGTTTCACATAATACCTTCTTGGCAATAAAAATAAGGGTCAGTAATTACCGTGCCAGAGTTTTAATTGACACATGCCTCTTACAAACGCATGTGCCACAAAATACAGCGGCACAAACACCTAAGATGCCATGCCACTTCATGTTAATAGTCCTTCTCAACTACTGCCAAGACAACTGTATCACAATCCAACTGGAAAGACAATATTTGGTATTTTAACTGCTTGGTATTTTAAGGTCCAATTCTCACTATTAATTAACTATTAACTACGACTTTTGCCTCAATAAACTCCTTATTACTGCTAGTTGTTAGTTAGTAAGTAAGTTAGTTGTTAAGTTTAGGTATTAGGCATGTGGAATATGTATGGCATTTTTTACACATGCTAGAAACGTGGCTTTCAGATTGCTATCAATGAACACACGCAGGTTCCTAACTGATGACGAAGAATTGACAGAGCAGCCATCAAGTGTTAGAGAGTATTCTAGATTATTACATGTGGAGGTTTTGGGTCCAATAATTAAAATCTGTGTTCAGAATTTAGTAGCAGGACTAGTCATCCGTGAAAAAATATAGAGCTGAGTATCATCAACATAACAGTGAAAACTAACACCATGTTTCCTGATTATATCTCCCAGGAGTAGCATGTACAGGGTGAAAAGCAATGGTCCTAGTACTGAGCCTTGTGGTACTCCATACTGAACTTGTGAAAGGTATGATACCTCTTTATTTACGGTTACAAACTGGTGATGGTTGGATAAGTATGATTTGAACCATGCCAGTGCAGTTGCACTAATGGCAACATAATTTTGTAGTCTATTGAAACGAATGTTGTGGTTGATAGTGTCAAATGTAGCGCTAAGATCCAGTAGCCCTAATAGAGGGATACAACCATGATCAGATGATAAGAGCCAGTCATTTGTAACTCTGATGAGAGCAGTCTCGGTACTATTATAGTCTAAATCCTAAATCCTTTTCTAGTATTCTTGACAAAAAAAAGCGAGATCCGCGATGGGTCTGTAGTTAACTAATTCTCTAAGATCAAGTTGTGTTTTTTTTTTATGAGAGGCTTAATAACAAGGATCTGCGACTTCAGAAAGCATCTCTTTTAGTAGCTCTAAAGTGTTAAAGGTACCAGAATGACCATTTCATTTCACATTTTTCTCATGGAGTGCATTAAAACTTATATTTACACAAGTGACAAATAACATTCCTTTAGCTGGGTTAATCACTTTTTATCATCCATTTGTGATGATAAAATTCCAGTGAGAAGCAGAGTATGCTGAGTGTTTTTTAAATTAAACAAAAGCTCAGTGTGAAATCAGCTGTGAAATAATCGTTATCAGTTCCATGGAATTGTCCACTGTAATGTACAACTAATTTAGGCAACTTTCATGTGATCATGTGGTGTTCCAATGACAACTCAGGTCATGTGATCTTGACAGCATAAATAGTGGATCAGTATCAATCAGCGAGTCAGACTGCCTGATAACATTTATATTTCATCCAGACTTTAATCATCAGCACTGCAGCAATGTCTTGCTGGAGCCCGGTGAAGCCTGTCACTCCAGAGGAGAAGCACATCTGCCTTGAGGTAAAGGACTCAAAATCACTCATGTTGTGAATGCATTTTTTTTTTTTTATTGCGTAGTAAACTTATTTGGGCTCTGTGAATGGTGGGGAAATATTTATTTTTTAAGAGATCACTCTGTTTTGCTTTTCAGTCACAATTCATTTTATATGTGTTTCTTTTTATATCTGAATTTTATATGTAACTCCAGAAACGAATGAATTCTATCTTCTGTTTATTCAGATGAAGTCACAAGTAGAGACGTTGGCTGGGGGAAATTTTGCCGTTTACATTCCTGTAGATTTTATTTCCAAAAATGAGGGTGAAATAAACTACACATTTGTGATAAAGGTGATTGTCTATTTTTTTATGGTGCTTTTATGATTTTGAGCTTGTGAATTATTCCAAGACACTTTTTATTTGATAATTTAATGTCAAGTGATTTGCATCTCGACTGTGAAGAAGCACCAAGTCACTGTATAAAATGTATCTGCATACAATTAAAACAAATTTCGCAGCTTTGTAGAAATGCTGGAAAAATCTAGTCCGAGTCTGCAGCAGTCACTATCTCTAATGTTGCACTTCGTGGAAAAAGACTGATTTTAAGTTGTTGCTGCTATGAATGAGGTGAAGAGATCACGTTTATCACTTGCTGCTTTAATGCATCACATCTGGTTAGGGCAAGATGAACTTGTAGTGTTTCTCTGTATAAATTAACATGTATAAACTCTTTCTCTCAGGTGGACGTTGGAGGAGACAAGTGTCTTCATGCAAAGATATTTGAATCAGGTGGTGGAGAACTGGATGTGCAAGATATCCGCTACCCAAAATCCTGCAGCAACACTCTGGTCCCCTTCTAAACACTTCTAACCGCATAGAGAAATAGTCTGTCTTATCAAATAACAGACACATGCATACTGTAGGGCAGGGGTGCCCAAACTCGGTCCTGGAGGGCCGTGTCCTGCAAAGTTTAGCTCCAGCTTGCCTCAACACACCTGCCTGGAAGTTTCTAGTATGTCTAGTAAGAGCTTGATTAGCTGGTTCAGATGTGTTTAATTAGGGTTGGAGCTAAACTCTGCAGGACACCGGCCCTCCAGGACCGAGTTTGGGCACCCATGTTGTAGGGGAATTGTTCAAAACTAATACATTCCTCAATATTAAAATCAATATTCAAACCCTCCAGTGTCAGTGTGTTTATGTGTGGATGCAAACAAAACCATTAATTTCACATTACTAAAAATGTTTTATGCTGAAATAACTGAACAGAAAGTGCAGAATTTTCCTAATTAAATTAATATGAATTAAATAATTAAAAACGTAATAAATAATGAATATAATTAAAATAAAAAAGGAAAGTAAAAACAGTAATATTGCAAAATATTATCACAACATAAACTGTTTTCTATTGTAATATGTTTTAAAATAAAATGTATTCCTGTGAAGTAAAGCTGAATTTTCAACAGCCATTACTCCAGTCTTATATACTGTTACACCTTCAGGAACAGGAACTTGCTAAATAAAGTTAAATATTAAGTAGATAAATACTGTATATGGAACTATTGCACTGGAAATTATGGTCATTTCAATGTTCATTTCTTTTGTTTGATTTGAGGTGAGGTGTTTAACTTGTATCAGTTGATGAAGAGCACGACCCAACTGAAGTTCAAGTGTAGCGTTATTATTAGTCACATCAATAAACATAAGTCTGTATATTAATTCACAACAATGTATTGCAAGATTGCATGGACTGGTGAGAGAATATGATCTTAAAAATTGTCTATATTTAGATAGAGCTTAATTAACTCAAAGAGCTATATGCCAGCATTAATTTTTACTCGGGACATTTCTGCTACTGGAGTTTCAGATTAATCAAGTTTATTTGCAGTGCACTATACAGAAAATGTTGATGTTTGTAATATAAACATATATTATAATATTTGTTCATATCTTCATGCCTTATAGTTGTATTTAGCAGATTAGAGCTGGGGTCTGGACAAGTTTATCACTATGAAGTTATCCTGCAATCACAAACTATGTACCATAGTATATATGTAAAAAATAAATAACAAAAGAACACAAATAATTTAGATGGTAAGTTGTAGTCGATGCATTTAAAAAAAAGTGAGAAAAACACAAATGTGTACAATTTTGAATTTTTACATTTACTGTAAAGAGGACGTTAAACGTGTTTTAGTCTTTCAAGACTCATGAATGTTACAGAAAAGCATTTTTAAAAAATCATTATCTGGTCAGTTTTTGAAGTGGTGTACCATTATGGTGGTATTTTTCTTTGCTTTTGATATTCCAGAATTATGTGCATGTGGTTTGGTGGTTTAAATGAATAAACTCCTTTAATATAGCACCATCTTGTGGCTTAATTCTCACTAAAGTTCATACATATCATTTTGCACATTTATCCCAAATTATTGAAATGACAGGCTGGTGAAATGTAATTGGTTGTAGGAAACCGAATTTGTTTATTAAGTGCATGTAAGTTGTTGTTGCAAAGAAATTGTGGGAATTTCATTTTAGAAATCCCTGTTATTATGTTTTTCTTATTTACTTATTATACTTATTCTTCCGTCATCAGTTTGGTCCGTGCTTGATTATGACTTCAAAGTTTTGAATTCGTTTTTATTTTTGTATTTTCCATTTTTATTTTAGGTTTTAGTAAATTTTTGTGTTTTGTGTGTGTGTTTATATATATATATATATATATATATATATATATATATATATA